CTTAGTTTAAAAGGATAGTCAAAGTATGCTTGGGAGTTAGTGGAATAATTGGATTTAAAAAACTGGGTGAACATGTTAGAAATTGTTTGACTATCACCAGAGACGGTATTTTGATACTTCATGGCGGAAGGAAACCCACGTATATTTCGCTTGGAGTTTACGAAATCATAAAATGATTTGGGGTTATATATTATACGTCGTTTGATTTTACACAAGTAATCTTTATAACACTTTTTGCTTAATTCAAAGAACTTGTGACGCAAAAGTGAGTATTTTACATAGTATGAGTGAGTGTAAGCCGGTTTTTTTGTGTAATCTAAAATAACGTGACTTTCTGTTTTTCAAGTTTCTCAGTTCTTCAGGAACCCACATGCGTTTAGGCACATACTTTTCAAATAATCTATGTACAGTACAATTAAAATGTGCAACGCTTTGCTCAACTTTTTCTTTGTATATAGGCCACGACAATTTAGACAATTCTTTATTCAGTTTTTTAAAGTTGGCTTTCGAAAAATCAAAGCGAATATTTGGTTCGTATGTTTGGACATCGCAATTTTGACCATCGTTTATAATTTCGTAAGATATCTCAATAGCAGGGTGGTAGACATCTTCGGGCAAAACTAGTGGGTCACATTTATTTACAGCCGACTTAGATGCATCATCAACATAAACAAGATCTAATACTTTGCCAAACTTATTGCGAAGTACATTAACTTGATTCAGGCAGAGTTCAGCCATCTCCTCTAAAAATACGTTGTTGCACGCGCCAGACGAGAAAGGTACAATATCATTGTCAATGATGTTCCATGATACATTTGGTAAATTAAAGTCACCCAACACAATCAATGAATCAGAGGGCTTAATCATTGAATTAATTGATTTCAGTAAAGATACATGTTGTGAATACACTGATAAGTCAGATCGGGGAGGACTATAGCATAGAGCTAAGTAAGTAAACCCCCTTCCAACCTGAACACGAATGCATTTGAATTCTGCAGATTCAATGTGTGGAAGACTAACTTCTTCAGATGGTATTGAAGAGTCTACGGCAAAGAGTACGCCACCGCCGACTCTGTCCTCCCGGTCTTTTCTGTAGATATGATAATTATTTGAAAGAATCTCTGAATTAAAAGTGTGAGGTTTGAGCCAAGTTTCAGTCAAAGAAATTATATAATACTTAAAGCAGATTTAGTAATCAGTTTTTTGGTTCTGTATTCTGACGGGGAATATTTGCTAAATTATTATTTTTGTTGGGCCTATACTCAAATTCACGAACGAAAGCTCCGGAGAGCCAAAAAGAACTACTAAGCAGCATGTCAAAATTTTCTAAATTTACGTCTATTTTAAATGAAGAAATATTTCTTTCATATTTAAAATTAAATTTTCTGATACTTAAGTTGACAGTTTTAACTTTGGACGAGATGTAAAACTTTATATCGTCCTCAGAAGTATCCCTCAAAAATCTAGATACAAATATAGACTTCTTTGGCGGAACCACAACCAGTCTCCTAGTATTAAACTCGATTACCGGCGGACGGGGTTGAGTAACTGAATTACTAATTGAGGGTAGAGTAAGCGTTGGAAGATTAGATGGCGGTGCCACAACTTCAACGGGGGAAGGGGAAGATACTGCAGGGTCGTTATTATTAGAAGCAGACTTTGATTTATGTTCTTTTGAGGAAGATAACTCCGTTGCCTGTGGACATGGAGAAGAAAGATTAATTAAGTCATTCGGAAGATTGTTCTGACGTGGAACGGTCCTTTCATTAGGCGGACTATGAAGACGCTTACGTTTTGACACATGAATGTCCTTCATAGATTGTACGGTATCTAAGCATTTAAAAGAATTAAATACATTTTCATATTGTTAAAATTTTTCGGTCAGTACCGACAACTCTCTCCCTACCTCAGAAAACCCATTTCTGGTTTGCCTAAACAACTTAAAGAGATCAACTTCGGTTGACCTGCACTTTAAGCAAGACCAGCGAAGACCTTTGCCATCATTAATAGCGTCCAGAATTCTTCCTGTCAAACCAGCATATTTTAGATGGCAAATACCATCACAGAGCCAGCACGATAAGTAGCGTTCAGATTCGCTTTTAATTTGGCAGTTATCAAGATCACACTTCATATTGAAAGATTTAATAACACTTATGTTAACAAAAAGACAAGCAAAATAAGTTTAACACAACACACACAACAATTTAGGAGCTGATGTATTTAGCTTAAAAATATATGTAGCGAACAGTTTGAGTATCACTGTATTGTGACACTTAATAAATGCAGCGCAAACAGCTGTGACAAGAAATACTAAACAACAAATGACTAGGCAAGATTAGATGTAAGCTAGTGAAATTTAATTAAATTAAATTTAATATAAACCACAAAAATCACAAAACTTTCACTTCGCTTCGATTATTTTCACACTAAGATGCTCGTAGGCACTTTTTATAGCAACTTTTACTCGGAATTAGCACAATAAACTTTGCAAAATACAAAGATAAATCAGAGCACAATATAAGTAGAACTTCACAGCTTGACGTTTGCTTACAATATTATGTAATTTTTATTTTCATTGCATGATTATGAAAAAGAATAAGGTATCATTTTCTGTTCATTGTGTGAAATAGCCAGAACAACCGCAGTGATGTGAAGTCGATGTTTATCGAAAGCATGCTGTGAAACATACAAATAGTAGATATATAAATGTTATGCACAAATTTACTTTAAATTTACTAGCGTCAAACTGACTTATTATTTGAGAATTTATCTAAATTATTCTAATTATAAAATTGTGATGTAGCTTTATTCGCATTTAATTTCATCTTCCGATTAAAATGGATCGATATTTGTAAATTTCAATTGGAGATTATTCAATATTAGCAAAATCACCCTCTACCAACTTAATTTTTAAATATTTCGTCTGTTTTCCCTTAATTTGATAAAATACTTCTCCCTAGTTACGATTTAGTTGCAGCTGCAGCCGGAACTAAATTTTAAGTTGGTACTTAGCCAGAAAAGTCGAAACTAAGGCGACTATGAATAGTTTTAGTTGTGACTTAGAATAGTTTCGACTTAGTTGAGTACTAAATATGACTATGAATATGCGCCATTGTATTCATTGCGCATTGGGAGTATAGTGCTCTGCACCAAGGAGCGAGAAGTGCTTCGCAGGCCAGTTCCCACCCAAACGACACAACAGTCAAGAAAGACATTGCACTTTTGTGCTGTATCTTTCGCGCTTCATTTATTTAGCACAGAAGTTTTAATTTTTTAATTGTTACCGGCCTTTATTTGTACCAAATCAATCCTCTCGCTTTATAACAGTTGTTTTTTCAGATACATACAGGCCGTCTAAAAATTTACGTATGTCCTTGTTTTTAACTGTTGTAGACTGCTGAATTAAAGCTGCTGATCCAGAAACAGCCTCAATATCGTTGCCTTCAACAATCAGTTCATCTTTTTGAGCCGTGGAATTGACTACTGTCACTCCTGGAGCCATTTGTACACGGCGAATATATTTTTCTCCAAGAAAATTTCGAATCTCAATAACTGTATTATTTTCAGAAGTAACACAGTTAATTGGAAAATGGGCATAAACCGCACGCATTTTATACTGAAAGCCAAATGTCACACCTTTAATCATATTTTCAATATGACTACAAACGGTACGAACAGATGCCAGCTCCTTCTTTGCACCGAACCACTTTTCTACTTTCAGGGTACGCTTATCAACCATGTACATATCCAACGCTAGATGTTTAAAGCTTCGGACTAAACTTCCACGCGCTCCTGTTATTTTTACAACTCGTGCTTTTACTGAGGCTTTTATGCCTTTCGGTATTTTAACGCATTGACTTGAGTTTATTGTCCTCATTGTAACAATTACGGTTTACCTGAAATATAACAGAAGTTCAACGATTATTGTATTTACTAATTTCATATATTACTTAATGCGTAAACATTAGTACAATAATATCTACGATCTCTTATAGTACAACAAATAAAAGGTAAAACCAGAATGATAAAACAAAGTAACATCTGCTGAAGCTTAAACTTATAATAAAGTAAATCTAAAACTTATAATAAAGTACACATAATTAAAGTAATACAGTGGTTATACATATTAACTTGAGATTAGGTATTTACATAGCGAAACTCGTATTAAACACCAAAAATTTTAATTTAACGAAAGTACCCATATAGAAAATTCTTAAAGTTGCTTTTATTTAGAGTTGCCATTGCAATAGAGTTCCATGAACGAATAGCATTGACAAAGAATTACCGTGCGGAGGTTAGATAATTATAATTTGCTATTATCAAATCATTAATTCGAGCTGACTTAGGGAAAATGGGCTTATAGATAACCCGGCTTCTTGTACATATTAAGCCGATTGAGAAAGATGCAGTTTCTGGCTTTCAGGGTCACGATATTTCACAGCCTAGTAAACGCATTCTCCAACCAGAGATATGGTCAAACTTAGCTAACCTACATAGCGTGTAACATGGTTGAATGCTACATCAGTTTTATAATTAGATAGTGAACTCATTTTACAGTATACAAGCTCAGGGTCCCGGAGAATGGTTCCGTGCGCTGAAGTTGAAAGCTTTTGACTGCCATTCACCTGGGAGTGGCCAAAAGAGATTCTTGTACGTTCGGTTCAAATCGCAGCTCACAACGTCCGGATATTTATGTCCACGTATCCCCTGAGTAGCGACCAAACAACCGTTTGGATGCGTGCTAAAGCGAGAAGGCGTAAAAGCTCGTGTGCAGTGGGTTTGGCTCCCGCCACGTTAAGACCCCGCCCAATGAAAAACAAAAAAACAGCCTCGTATGAGACCCCCTTTTTCTGATGACGACCACGGCAACCTATTAAGGACTATGATTTGAAGGTATGCACCTGGAACGTAAGTTCCGCAGGGCTATCACTGCTGCTGCAGCTCGCTGCAGGGTGCATATCGGACCCACGTCCAAACTTCCCTGCCGAAGCGGCTGTTCTAGCTGATGAGCGTGATAGCCTTCGTCAGGCCGATCCCGGAGATCCCCGTATCAGGGATCTCAACGCGGAGATTCGGCCACTTGTAAACGTACATAAGCGGAAGAAGTGGGAGGAGCATCTGAAGACTTGTAACTTCACCTCTGGTGTGAGCAAGCTTTGGTCAACCGTGAGGTCATTGTCTAATCCGACGAAGCACGACGACAGAGTCGAAATTTCCTTCGGCGACCATGCCTCGTCGGACCCGGAGCGATGCGCGAGCTTTTTTAGCCGGCAGTTCATACTGCATCCTCCGGTGGACAAAGCCAAGCGTCGAGTGACCAGAAGGCTGCACAAACTGCCAACAACTTGTGCCCCCCTTGCTTTCACTTGCGGTGAAGTTCGGGTGGCCATCGGGAAGGCGAAAGCCTCCAAAGCCATGGGTCCCGACGGAATATGCATGCTGATGCTGAAAAATTTGGGTCCTGCGGGGGTAGCGTACCTAACGGAGGTCCTCAACTTGTCAATGGCCACTCTCATCATCCCAGACATCTGGAAGGTGGGGAGAGTGGTCCCACTGCTCAAACCGGGGAAACCTGCCAACAAAGGAGATTGTTGTTGTTGTAGCAGCATACAAATTCCCCAAAGACTTTTTGGGGAGTGTTGCTGGAGTGACAGTCCTTGGCCAGATATAAATCTGGGTCGTTCCGGTTACGTAGACCCGACTGTCGTGGGAACGAACAAAGGAGATTCGTATCGTCCGATTACACTCCTTTCCCCGGTAGCGAAGACACTCGAGGCCTTGCTACTCCCGTACTTCACAAATCACCTGACCCCAGCGAAGCATCAGCATGGTTTCCGAAAAGTGCACAGTACAACAACAGCACTTAACACCATAAACACTCAGATAACTCGTGGCCTTAACCGTAACCGTCCCTGTGAGAGAACGATTCTAGTAGCGTTGGACTTGTCAAAGGCGTTTGACACCGTCTGCCATTCCACGCAACTAGAAGATATAGAGGCCTCCTCTCTCCCACAGAGGCTCAAACGGTGGTCGGCAAATTATCTGAGTGGTCGACATTCGTCGGTAATGTTTAGAGACAAAACGAGTAAGCAGCGAAAAATAAAACAGGGGGTTCCTCAGGGTGGTGTCCTTTCCCCGCTACTGTTTAACTTTTACATTTCAAAGCTCCCTCAACCACCAGAGGGAGTCTCGATTGTCTCCTATGCCGACGATTGCTCGATCATGGCGACTGGGAATGGAATTGATGACCAGTGTTCGAAAGTAAACGGCTATCTCTCCGAACTTTCTCGCTTCTTCA